TTTGTAAATTTATATCTTTGTAAATTTATATCTTTGTAAATTTATATATTTGTAAATTTATATATTTGTAAATTTATATCTTTGTAAATTTATATCTTTGTAAATTTATATATTTGTAAATTTATATCTTTGTAAATTTATATCTTTGTAAATTTATATATTTGTAAATTTATATATTTGTAAATTTATATCTTTGTAAATTTATATCTTTGTAAATTTATATATTTGTAAATTTATATCTTTGTAAATTTATATCTTTGTAAATTTATATATTTGCAAATTTATATATTCATAAATTTATATATTTGAACTGTAAATTTATATGCTTAAAATAAACAATGCTTAAAATGGGTTTCAGCTCTTACCTTTTCACCTTTTGCAATCTGAATTATTCTTCTGTTCCGAGTCTTAATTAATTTTTTTTTAAATCTTTACCATTTTTGTCATGATAAACATTTAATCTTATAGTCATTTCATGAAAAATTTCTCCTAACCAATGATTTATATATTTATATTTAGCAAATTGTACGGTTTTAAATGTTAAAATGTTTTACTTTTGCGCAGCATGAAAACACAACTTTAAATGCTTGTAATTTGCGCAATTGTTTTTTCAAGTTTAATGTAAGGTTCGCATAAGTTTAATTTTATCACAGCGGAAAAAAGTTTAACATTCATATAAAAGAGGTGGCAACAGATTTGATACATAAAGAGAACGCTTCGCTTTAAAATATTCGTCGTTGTTTATTATTGTTTATTAAAATACTTTTTTAAAATATCTTCTCGCTTTTCGCTTTATAATTCTTTTAAACCAAATTCCTTGTCTTTAAACTTTACCTTATATGGCACAGCTGTCTTTTTTAAAAAGAAACTTTCAACTTCTTCTTCTAAAACATCGTCATTCTATCGCTACATTTTAAATTCTTCTCATGAAATTTTGACTGCTAATGAAGCAAAAAGGAATTCATCATTGGCTACAACTCGCTCAGGTAATCCTATTTTGACAAAAAATAACATTTCATTGAAGTAAATTTGAAAATTGCATTCCGTTAATTTTTGATTTCTACTCGCCAAACTTCTCTGTAACAAACGTCGCCAAAACAGATTCTACTCGCTGCACTTTTCTTCGCCAAGATGTCAACAGACGTGAATACTGTTTTGAATGCCTTGAACGTGGAACAACATACTCATTTAACTGTCGCCCAGTTAAAAACAGACT